GAAACAACCTGTTCAGAAGCAAGTCATGACGGTTTTCAGTTTTTTTTCCTCCTTCAGTTGCTGCTTTGGAGCCGTTGAAATCATCAATCGCAGGTAGTTCGTGCCCAGCAGAAAAGGAGCGCTGAAAAGACCGCACATCGTAAATGTTGTGGGGAGGTAGGCCCAATCTTACCCCTATGTAACTACTATTTCCATTGTTTTTATCAGAAAAATGCAAACTAAAGACTACTAAAGGTAGGATGTGAGGATTGTTACTCCCATGATCTTGCTCCTATGTAGCTACTATTTCTTCTAGCAGGATTTTTTTCAGTGGCCATACCATAACATGGAAGAAATCATTTTCAGGTCACCATGCCCTGCCAATCTCGATGCAGGACATCGACTGGACACCATCTATTTGAGCATCCATGATGTTTCTTAAGTCATGGGGGATCCCCAGTCGTCACCATGGTTGTTTCAATACTAAAATGGTTATCCATGACTTGGATGATTTGGGGGTAGTCCCATTTGAGGAAACTGCCATATATGTTAAATTTCCATGGTGCAGCTGAAGATGACGAACGCTGAGAATGGACACGCTTCAGGATCGGAGCCCAGGAACTTAAATTACGAAGGTCCCTCGGGGTAGAGATGGTTCATATCAAACTCACGTTGAGAATCAGGACTTGAATGAAGTTGGATAGAAATTACCGAGCTGCCGCGATTTTCCCGAAGAAACGCTTTCCTGACCCTTTCGGATCAAAACTGGAAGACAGTGGAGGTGCTTTGGAAGCTATAAATAAATAACCCAAGGTTTTCCTTTGCTGTGTAATTCATAAAATACACTCGTGGTCCAAAGGGCTGTAAAGTCATTGACGAAAAGAACCGCTTCCCTGTCATATTTGCAACGCAGACACATATAAACGACGACCTTTTGGGAACCCAGTCCCCATCATTTTTCGCTTTGTTTTCGGGCAGCAGTGCCCCGGCCATGGCACCTGCGACAGGTTCTGCAACGCAACGTGGTTTGAGCCTCGTTACCGATGTGCCAGCACAGCAACTAGACGACGGATGGCCCGAGAGCGTAGAGGAGCAGGGTCTTCTCTTGTTAGTATGGAGACACCATATTACAAAACAATATATTAAAGATGTGTTATAGGCAGTCGAGAAGAGGAGTATCAAGACAATATAGCATAAGTACAAGACAATAGTTTGCATCGCAAACACTTTTACACACAGAAGCTTTTACACAGAGCAAGCTTTTACACAGAGAACCCCTTACACAGAGAAGCTTTTACAGGCAGCGCTTTTACACACAGACACTTTTACACACAGACGCTTTTACACACAAGGCACTTTTACACACAGACACTTTTCCACACAGGCGCTTTTACATACAGACAGTTTTACACACAGACGCTTTTACACACAGTTGCTTTTACACAGACGCTTTTACACACAAAGCTTTTACCCACAGAAGCTTTTACAGACAGAAGCTTTTCCACACAGACGCTTTTACACAGACGCTTTTACACACAGACACTTTTCCACACAGGCGCTTTTACATACAGACAGTTTTACACACAGACGCTTTTACACACAGTTGCTTTTACACAGACGCTTTTACACACAAAGCTTTTACCCACAGAAGCTTTTACAGACAGAAGCTTTTACACACAGACGCTTTTACACAGACGCTTTTACACACAGACGCTTTTACACACAAACACTTTTACACACAGACGCTTTTACACACAGACGCTTTTACACACAGACGCTTTTACACACAGACGCTTTTACACACAGAGGCTTTTACACACAAACACTTTCACACACACACAGACGATTTCACACACAAAAGCTTTTACACACTTTTTGACGATCGAACCTCGTTTCGTGCGAAAGGGTTGCGCGGAGCAACTTGAAATCGCAATTTTATACCTCAGTTTTTGACGATCGAACCTCATTTCGTGCGAAAGGGTTGCGCGGGACGACTTGAACTCGCAATTTTACCTCAGTTTTTGACGATCGGACCTCGTTTCGTGCGAAATGGTTGGGGTGGACACCTTCAAATCGCAATTTTATACCTCAGTTTTTGACGATCGAACCTCATTTAATGCGAAAGGGTTGCGCCGGACACCTTGAAATCGCACTCTTACCTCAGTTTTTGACGATCGAACCTCATTTCGTGCGAAAGGGTTGCGCGGGACGACTTGGGAATCGCAATTTTACCTCAGTTTTTGGCGATCGAACCTCGTTTCGTGCGAAAGGGTTGCGGCGGACACCTTCAAATCGCAATTTTATACCTCAGTTTTTGGCGATCGAACCTCGTTTCGTGTGAAAGGGTTGCGTTTCGTGCCGTCTCGTTGGCACTGCCCCTGGCCCCGCCTTCAGAAGAGAAATAGAAAAGAAGGAGAGGGCAAGAGGGGCAAGAGGGCAAGAGGGGCAAGAGGGCAAGAGGGCAAGAGGGCAAGAGGGCAAGAGGAGAAGATGTGAAGATGTGAGGATGTGAAGATGTGAAGATGAGAAGATGTGAAGATGTGAAGGTGAGAAGATGTGAAGATGAGAAGATGTGAAGATGAGAAGATGTGAAGATGAGAAGATGTGAATATTTGAAGATGTGAAGGTGTGAAGATGAGAAGGTGTGAAGATGAGAAGATGTGAAGATGAGAAGATGTGAAGATGAGCAGATGTGAAGATGAGCAGATGTGAAGATGAGAAGATGTGAAGATGAGAAGATGTGAAGATGAGAAGATGTGAAGATGAGAAGATGTGAAGATGAGAAGGTGTGAAGATCAGAAGAGGTGAGGATGAGAAGATGTGAATATGAGCAGCTGTGAAGATGAGAAGATGTGAAGATGAGAAGATGTGAAGATGAGAAGATGTGAAGATGAGAAGATGTGAAGATGAGAAGGTGTGAAGATGAGATGCAGACCCCCACTATTGGAAGAACCCTGCGCTCAGACGCTCTCGGGAAAAAAACGAGCAGATCCATCCAAACACCCATATATACCGTAGTGATGCTGCAACTTGTAGGGTTTAAGAGATCGCAGCCTTGCATGAATGGCATGGCGATCCTTAACGACAGGCAGAGCAGGCGCCTCCACATGAAATTGCATCAGCAGCCCTTCAACAGAAACAGCAGCAGAAGGAAGCAACAGCAGACGCAACAGCAGACGCAACAGCAGATGCAACAGCAGATGCTGCTCACGCACCAGAACCCGCACCACACCCAAAGCAGGAACTGACACCAACTGCCATTCAAATGCACAGGAACAAGACAAGCAGCACATAGAATTGCAGCATCCAGACCTGCCAGAGCAGGCACCTCCACAAGAATCTGCACCAGCAGCCCCTCAACAGAAACACCAACAGAAGAAACAGCAGATGCTGCTCATACCCCAAGGCCCAAGCGAAACCCAAAGCAAGAACCGGCACCAACTACAATTTAAATGCACAGGAACGAGGCAAGCAGCACATAGAATTGCAGAAACAGCATGCAGAATTGGCAGAGCAGGCACCTCCAGATGAAATTGCATCAGCAGCCTTTCAACAGAAACAGCTAAACGACAGCAGAAGGAACAGCAGACGGAACAGCAGATGCTGCTCATGCTCCAGAGCCCGAACGAAACCCAAAGCAGGAACCGGCAGCAATTGCAATTTAAATGCGCAGGGACAAGACAAGCAGCGCATAGAATTGCAGAAACAGTATCCAGACCTGCCACAGCAGGCACCCCCACATGAAATTGCATCAGCAGTCGAAGCAGCAGAAGCAAAACCAGACACAACAGCAGATGCTGCTCATGCACCAGAACCCGCACCGAACCGAAAGCACCAAGGCAATCAGCAGTTGAAGGAGGGAAGCACTGAGCCAGGGCGAACCATATTCCTTACCAGCTGGTGAGCAAGAGAGCTATATATGTGAGGGTTTCCATAAATGGTGGTACCCCAAAATGGATGGTTTACAGTGGAAAATTATTAAAAAGAATGGGTACCACTAGGAGTTGATATAATTCTAAGTGCATGGTTATGATACGGCCTTCTAATTCTTAGTGCTGGCAAGTCTTAGTGCACCCGCAGCAATTCTTAGTGCACTCCCCAGGTATCACTGAGAAGCAATTCTAAGTGATTGTCGCATTGACTTTCCGATTCCAACTGCCAATCACCTATTCTAATTAAGTGGGAGTAGAATCAAAGTCCCGTCAAGGGTCGCTGTGCATTTTCTTTCCCACCAAACTGTAATGTGGGAAGTGAACAAATGCATGACATATACTTCGAATATATTCAAACTAATTCAACATGTTTATTCTGACTAAGGCGGCTCAGCCTACAACGTCTGTTGACACATCCAGCTGGTTCGATCAGGCTGCTGGCGGTGGACAACCGAAGGATGTTTCGTCCTTGTTTGCAGATGATCCTGAGTCGGTCCCTGCCCAAGCCTCGCAAGCACCGCCACCAGTGGCACAGGTGTTGGGCTTAGTTTTGTGCCTGAAGCACTGAAGAGTTACATGGGAGTAGAATCAAAGTCCCATCAATTGGGTCGCTGAAAATTTCCTTTGCCACCAAACTGTGATGTGGGAAGCGAACAATTACATGACATATATTATAATTCGACTATATTCAAATTCATTCAACGTGCGGCTCAGCCCACAACGTCTGTTGACACATCCAGCTGGTTCGATCAGGGTGCTGGCGGTGGACAACCGAAGGATGTTTCGTCCTTGTTTGCAGATGATCCTGAGTCGGTCCCTGCCCAAGCCTCACAAGCACCGCCACCAGTGGCACAGGTGTTGGGCTTGGTTTGTGCCTGAAGCACCGAAGAGTTACATGGGAGTAGAATCAAATCAAAGTCCTGTCAAGGGTCGCTGTCGAATTTTGTTTGCTTTTTCTTTGCTATCGAACTGTGATGTGGGAAGCGAACAAATACATGACATATAATTCGAATATATTCAAATTAGTTTAACATGTTTATTCTGACTAAGGCGGCTCAGCCCACAACGTCTGTTGACACCTCCAGCTGGTTCGATCAGGGTGCTGGCGGTGGACAACCGAAGGATGTTTCGTCGTTGTTTGCAGATGATCCTGGGTCGGTCCCTGCTCAAGCCTCACTAGCACCGCCACCAGTGGCACAGGTGTTGGGCTTAGTTTTGTGCCTGAAGCACTGAAGAGTTACATGGGAGTAGAATCAAAGTCCCTTCATGGGGTCGCTGAAAATTTTCTCTGCCACCAAACTGTGATGTGGGAAGTGAACAAACGCATGGCATAAAATTCGAATATATTCAAATTAATTCAACATGTTTGTTCTGACTAAGGCGGCTCAGCCCACAACGTCTGTTGACACATCCAGCTGGTTCGATCAGGGTGGCGGTGGACAACCGAAGGATGTTTCGTCCTTGTTTGCAGATGATCCTGGGTCGGTCCCTGCTCAAGCCTCACAAGCACCGCCACCAGTGGCACAGGTGTTGGGCTTAGTTTGTGCCTGAAGCACCGAAGAGTTACATGGGAGTAGAATCAAAGTTCCGTCAAGGGCCGCTGTGCATTTTCTTTGCATTTTCTTTGCCACCAAACTGTGATGTGGGAAGCGAACAAAGACATGACGTATAATTCGAATATATTCAAACTAATTCAACATGTTTATTCTGACTAAGGCGGCTCAGCCTACAACGTCTGTTGACACCTCCAGCTGGTTCGATCAGGGTGCTGGCGGTGGACAACCGAAGGATGTTTCGTCCTTGTTTGCAGATGATCCTGGGTCGGTCCCTGCTCAAGCCTCACAAGCACCGCCACCAGTGGCACAGGTGTTGGGCTTAGTTTGTGCCTGAAGCACCGAAGAGTTACATGGGAGTAGAATCAAAGTCCTGTCAAGGGTCGCTGTGCATTTTCTTTGCCACCAAACTGTGATGTGGGAAGCGAACAAATACATGACATATAATTCGAATATATTCAAATTAGTTTAACATGTTTATTCTGACTAAGGCGGCTCAGCCTACAACGTCTGTTGACACCTCCAGCTGGTTCGATCAGGGTGGCGGTGGACAACCGAAGGATGTTTCGTCCTTGTTTGCAGATGGTCCTGAGTCGGTCCCTGCCCAAGCCTCACAAGCACCGCCACCAGTGGCACAGGTGTTGGGCTCAGTTTGTGCCTGAAGCACTGAAGAGTTACATGGGAGTAGAATCAAAGTCCCATCAAGGGTCGCTGAAAATTTTCTCTGCCACCAAACTGTGATGTGGGAAGTGAACAAATGCATGGCATACAATTCGAGTACATTCAAATTAATTCAACATGTTTGTTCTGACTAAGGCGGCTCAGCCCACAACGTCTGTTGACACCTCCAGCTGGTTCGATCAGGGTGCTGGCGGTGGACAACCGAAGGATGTTTCGTCCTTGTTTGCAGATGATCCTGGGCCGGTCCCTGCCCAAGCCTCACAAGCACCGCCACCAGTGGCACAGGTGTTGGGCTTAGTTTTGTGCCTGAAGCACTGAAGAGTTATACATGGGAGTAGAATCAAAGTCCCGTCAAGGGTCGAATATATTCAAATTAATTCAGCATGTTTACTCTGACTAAGGCGGCTCAGCCCACAACGTCTGTTGACACATCCAGCTGGTTCGATCAGGGTGGTGGTGGTGGTGGACAACCGAAGGACGTTTCGTCCTTGTTTGCAGATGATCCTGGGTCGGTCCCTGCCCAAGCCTCACAAGCACCGCCACCAGTGGCACAGGTGTTGGGCTTAGTTTGTGCCTGAAGCATTGAAGAGTTACATGGGAGTAGAATCGAAGTCCCGTCAAGGGTCGCTGTGCATTTTCTTTGCATTTTCTTTGGTCACCAATGGCCACCAAACTGTAATGTGGGAAGAGAACAAATGCATGACATTTGTTTCTTGGGTTGTGAGGTTGGTATGATTGCAGCGCGCTCAGCTGCAACCTATTTTGGCTTAAGCCATAATGGCAAATCCGAGCAGCTTCACAACGTGTCATCCTGGCAATGACGGGGCCAAAGTGACAACCCTACAAGCAATTGGACAGCAAAAAAGTGCAGCTATACATCTTATGTCAACAGGTGGTTTGAATAATGGACAACTTCGTATCCACACTCCCCCTCGTCATTCTTGACCAGCCACTTATGAAAAAACTCGACCCGACGGTGATTGACATCAGCCGCGACAGTGGCGTCACGAACAATCGGGACTCTTCTCAAGAGGCTGGGACTGGAGAAACAGCCGGTGGAGCCGGACATACTAATCAGGCCAGGGGGAGTAAGGCACCTTGGGCGGAGGTCAACTTCAGAAACATCATCTCCGAGATCACGGTGGAGAACCTGGACACCTGGCTATTCCTGGATCACACCAAATGCGAACAATTCGTTTGCCCGAAGCATCAATCCACTACTGAACCATTTCAGTGGACAAGATGTTGGAAGATCATTCCTGTTCCAAGAGATGCATCGTTTGCAGGACCCCAAGGCCGAGAAATGTGGGGACGTAGTGGAAATGTGGCTTGGCTTGCTCGACATTGTCAACATGACGAAAGGGCACATCAAAACGCTCAACTCCACAGCACAGCCGATCCAGGTGAACTTCTGGCCGGGCTTGAGGCTTCGATCAACATGTTCCAAGGAGTTTCAAGACCCACTTCAACATGGAACTCCAAGCGCAACAAGGCCGGCCACGCGGACGCCACCCACTATGAGGACGCCGCAGTGGAACAGATATTGCGGAATTGTCGGAATCCACAAGGGATGAGCATGCCCTCAGACGGCGAGTTGGCCAGACTCCTTGAGATCTACATGAATGCCAGGGTCGACAAGGATGACCCAATGGGGGGAAGCGGAGAAGGTGAACAGGCTGGCCTTTTGGTCGACCCGGGATCCGCATCTGCCAGTGCCAGAGCTGCGGACCAGCAAGACCGCCCGTCGGCGACCTTGCGAGACTACCAGCCTACAGGTACACCTCCAGAAGTCAATGAGGAAGATGAGATCTCTGCAGAGAGAGAGGAAGGAGGTCATCAATGCAATCGGCGCATTCTTCAGAACTGCAGGCGAGAACAATGTTTGCATCAAATCCGGTCAGAGCGGGCATGTTGAGTATGAATGCAGCTCCAAAGGGGCGGACATCCCTGAACATGCTCCGCGACAATCTCATGAAGAAGAAGGTAGAAGATCAACGGCAAGAGGGGGAGAAGCCAAAACAGGAGACAGGAAAACAAGAGGAGAACATGTACTCAACACCTCTCACGTTGATCAAGATCGGAAATCGAGCCCATGGGGACATGAGCTACTGTGGAGCCCGAGTGGATAGAGATGGTCCAGCTGATCATGCAGAATTGGATGACATCATGGACTTGCTGGCGAGAACGGAAAGATGATGTCGTGCGAGGAAGCCATATGCACCACCAGCATCGGAACACAAGATGTACAAGAAGTTGAACATCAGGACTCTCATTGGGTGCCTCAAAACGCTACCACTCTACAGGGGCATCTTCAGGGCAACATCTGTCGCAGGCAATGGACCCCAGTACAAACCAGGCGAGGAGAGGGAGAATCAATCGCTCTTCAGGGTGAACTGGGAGATCAGCATGAGCTATAGGGTCAACAGGGTACTACGGTATCACGTCGGAAGACATCAGGTCTGGGAGAAGGACTATCAAAGGCACTTCCCCGGGGTGAAATGCGACGAGGCCGGATGGGTTGACATTCACGGCTTCATGAAGAATGAGTACGTGTACGACAGAGCAGCCAAAGAGAACCTTGGCCCAGATGGCAACCAGACACCATCCACCATAATGGTATCATAGGGCACAGAACTAAACAGCTCATCAGGATGCAATGGACCGAATACCCGAGGAAGAGAAGAGTAAGATGGCAATTTCTGTGCTACACCCTCCACGAAACGTTCACAGTGACAGATGAGTTCCTTGTGGGCGAACTGGGTGTCGACGCAGCGATGCAACGGCTCATTCCTGAGGACGGCTCAAGCATCTACTGCGCTCCCATTGCAATCCGATCTCCCAATGCTCATCCTTCATCACGAGCTGGTGTGAAGATCAAGTTGGACAAGATTCAACATTCGCTCACATCAGAGATCACTGGATTATTCAGGTATTGCTTCCACATCTCCGAGATCAGGAACCTCGACATGATAGTCCGAGAAGGATTACGACCTGGGGGGAGAAGAAGAGGCAGATTGCAAGTTTTTTCAGCCCCTTTGCGCCCTGGGACAGGAGGTTCAAGAACGTGTTGGGATTGGATCTGACACACCTCAACTCGGCATGTGTGGCCATAGCATTTCACGCGCACACCCTGCTGGACTTTGGGGCCATCATCAACGCTTCTGGGTACCTGCCACTGACCAGAATGTGCCCTACTCTGCATCGATTGGAGCATGGTACTATTACAACCACCATGAATGGTGCAGGCTATCGATCGAGAACGGAGGAAGCCAGTTGATCAGAGAGTGCAGAGATCCAACGTGGGTGGTATCGAGGAAGAAACTACTGCAAGCCACACGATCAATGGCTGACGAGATCCAGGACGAAAAGGGCATCACATTCCACGAAGAGTTCAAGAAGGACGTGACAGAACTTGAAGCCGGTGGAACACTGACCCTCAGACCCAGTGATCCGCTGAGAAGCAGGATTGCGCACTTCATGGCGGAGAACTACACCTCGAAAGAAGCTGGCAGAGTAATGTGTCCAGCATTCTTTTGGAGACCCCACATGACCTCACAATCTGCCTGAGCTGCAGAGGAACCCTTGTGAGCTACGGGGAAAGGATCCGAGCTGAAGATGAGCAACAACATCAAAGGAACGATGATGTACAAGGAGATGACGATCCGATCAATAACAAGATGAAGACGTCGACATGGACAAGGGAGAAGTCGACGAGCTCATCCGAAAAGCAAAAGCCACGGCCAAACGACAACAGGCCGAACATGATCGTCACGAAGAATACGAATACCCCAATCGCACGAACGAAGACACGGGCAATGACACCGACCGGAGTGGTGGCCGACCAGGTACTCCTCCATCGCCCGCAGCAAGATCGAAAGTCAATACCCACGAGGAAAGAGAAAACAGGAGCGAGCAGATGAGGAGGATCTCAGCGAGAGGAGACGGAAAGAAGGGCCAACCCTCTTCCGCTGTGGGCAGTTTGATTTGTTCCCGGATGCATCAGCACTGAGTGCACTGCGGAAGCCGTCAGCATGGACGCCGTAGACGGGGCAGCGCGAGCCATCGACGCGGTCATCATCACGCACCTCAAAGCGCGATACAAATCGCAATATGGACACCACGGAGTACAAAGAGAGAGTCATCAACCAGGATACCATTCCCGAGTTTGATGGCTACTGCCCTTACCTTGGGACGGACAAGAACGGCGAGCTCAAGATGCCCACGGAAGGGGATATGAAAGCCATGTTTGCGAGTAAGAAGTCCAAAGATGGCGATATTGGGGGGAGAGACGAGGAAGTCTTTCTTCGAGGAACAATTGGTAGCGAATCATGTGCAGAATGATGAAGCACTTGGTCGAGACGGGAATGAAACCTACGAGCTTCAATTCAATGTTTGCCGATGACATGGAGTTGGATGACAAAGAAAGAGAGGCAATCAAAAGAAGAAGTTCGTCAGTGGTTTGAAGGCTGATCCCGGGGGCGTTTGGCGTGAGAAGTTATGACTACTTCCGGACCAACTACCCGCTGGCAGATCACTTGCACATCGACCCGGTCTCCATCTGCTGTGCAGTGATGAAGAGGGTCAGAGCCTATACTCTGGTTCATTGACGCTAGTGAATCAAGGCATGCAGCTACCAGCCCTACTGATAGAACAACATGAGGCAAGGCGGCGATCAGCCATGAAGAACGAGCGTCGAATGATAACACAAACCGCACATCTCGAGCAAGAAGAACGGGAACGGCATATGACCTTCACCCGCACCATTGCTTCCGGCAGCCACGAAACGGCAGACGCCTCAGACTCAGCAGCTACAGAAGCATCAAAGAAGAAGAAGAAGGCTTGAAAAGCAAAGTAAGTGCTGAGGATTGACCTAATTACAGGTCATCTGAGAGAGGCATTTGAGAGCCGGAGTAATTCAAGCTCCCAATTCTTTTTAAAGAGCTGGAGTAAAACCTCCAGCTGTACCAGCCTTCCAATGACATAGCCTGTATAGTGCATGATACGTATGGGGAGCAGGTGCGTCCGTCGGCGAGCCCGCTAATCATCGTGTAATTTGGGGACCATGCCAGCCCATCGGCTGACATGGGGAACCGGGTAGCATTACACTGGCATTTGTATTTTTGAGGGAGGCACAATGGTACAAACCATAGCTAGTTAAATGGGAAACCATAAGCCCTGGCATTTACTTTCCTGCGCCCAAACTCCAAAAAAAATTCGATGGGCGTGGGGGGTGTGAATACAATGCAGGCCAGGTGTTACCCCCCAAACATGTGTTAAGCAACAGGACAGCGTTTCATACATGGGCTGGCAAGATGGACATCATTATGACTGCTCAAAACACAGTTGCTGCAGTGAGAAAAAATGGGTTTTGCTTGCTAAGCGCTGGGCGACCGAGCTGAGCCGAATCTTACAACGAAGTCACGGAGCACAGCCAGACCAGTGCCCATTCTCAAGTTTTGTAGCGGTTACACGTAGACGTCGCGGGTCTTCTTGGACACTGCCAGTGGGTTTTACCAAACCCCTTTCTGAGCGTAAGTCACCACATCACCACAAAGTTTTGCGAAGTCATTGGCCTGTTGAATATATGCTCGATTTGCATAGTAATGCGGGCAATCAACGATAATCAGATTTATCAGCAATGACTGAGCCAATGGGTGCTCGTAGCTCCTTGGCACTGCGACAATTGAGGTTGGTCGGGCGAACGGAAGTGATCATGAGGCTGGTTGCGCAAATGGCACAACAAACGACGTCTCTTCTTTGTTTGCTGACGATGCATCGCCTGGTCTTTTTGCATCTGTGGCAGCTCCTCTTGCTCCATTAGTGGGTACAATTTGTCGCAAAAATCCCTCAAAACGGATGGCGCCAGGTGCCTCAATTTGTCTCCTAAGGGTGACCAATAGATTTATGAGATTCGCAATGTGTTGTCTACATCCCTATAAGAAAAATCTCATGAAATGCTGCACCGTATATTCTCAGATTTTTCCTAGTGCGTTGTTCGTTTACTTGAATCCAAGGCTCCTGCAGCACCAGATCCATTTGCAGGGCCAACCGTTTCCAGCTGGTTTGATCAAACTTGAGCCGGCAACTCTTTTGGGTTCTGCACCCTCGATCACAATGCTTTGACACTGGTTTCATAATTATTGGGATGTCTCACTGGGGCCATTCAGTCAAAAGGCTTTTCAGCTGTGACCTGGCAACAAAGTGCAGTTGAGTGCAGTCTACCTAGCTATTCTTTCACCTTCTGTTGCAAGACTATGGTATGGATTGTGGATATCTTCTGTTGCGTCAGACTGGTTCAAGACTGGGTCTGCAGCTTGGCGCGCCAATTTTTGGCAACCAGGCAAGTCCGATGACAAGGGCTGCGTGATGTGCTTTCAAACAGGTTGTAGCAGTTTGAAGGTTTGCTGATTGATGGAAGCCTTTGCCATATCCCTTGTAGAAAAATGATGGCAGCACAACGATTCCAATCAGTGGTTCAAAATCCTGGAAGTGACTCCCCCAGCCAAGACATATTGCAAGGTTACAGTTGGGGGTTGTAGAGTATTACAGATTGATCAGCCGCCCTTGACCTTTGAATCGATCAAATTCCGCTCAGAACTCATTGAATGTCCTTAGATGTCCTCAGTCGATTCTTAATTTAATTGCAATGACATTGCCACTGGAGCGTTTGGATGTTATGAGGTCTATGAGGCGTTTGACTTGAACTGAACCCACAGGCCAGCAGTTTTTCAACGCCACTTCTCAAGAAGACATCCCCCAGCCTATTAAGCCAATTGAACCAAAATTCCGCTTCATTAGCTTCGGATCTCTGTGCATCTTTTTGCGTTTCAAAGGGAAAGAAAAAAGAGACATTCGAAAAGCAATCAGAAACCAATTTGCGTTGAGGTAAAAAGAATGGAATCAAGGCGACAGTTGAAGGGTGCCCAAAGACACAAACTTTCTCTTCACAAAGTTCAATGTTTGCAAACATCTTTCTTTTTTGTCCTCACAACATTTGCTGCCTCCAATTGTTTGTAAATGTTGGCAGGCTAGCTGTTGGTGGTTTGGAAGCCAACATCGGTGGCCAGAAGCCCAACTACCACAAGCAGCTTGACATTGAAGCTCATCATTCTTGTTCATTAGCCCGGCATGTCAAGTGACTCAAATGACCATAATGACCTACTTTTGTTTGAAAGAAGACTGTCATCCACTCCTGCTTGCAACGTATCGAGCCGTTCTGTTCGAGCCCACTCACTCATCGACTTGTGGCGCCACGGAGAGATGCCAGTACGACGCTCCCATCGGGTTTGGCCTTTCGTGGCCATGGCCTTGCTGTTCCGCATGCAGCTGGTCAACTTCTGTGGCACGCCTTCCCCCCATCGCCGATTGAACACAGCTCTGAACTGGTGGCGGCGCAAGTCGGAGGAGCCATCGCCGGAGCCAGTGCCAATCACTCCTGTGTCAAATGTGGACATTAGCAGCATGGACATTCGTTCAGTGTCTTGCTGGCTTGCGACTTTGGACTTGGAGCAGTACGTCCCAAATTTTGAAGCTGCATCGGTTAATGGGCTAATGCTCCAAGACTTGACTGATGAGGATCTCGAAGTTGTCGGCGTGGACCAACCCTTCCATCGCAAGAAGATTCTTACGCACCGCAATGTTTTGGTTGAGAAAGGTTTTGAGACATTATCATTCCCTGAGCGGTGGCACTTGGATCGTGTGTGCGAGGCCTCCAAGGTCAATGATCCAGTTCTTGAGCCGCAACTATTTGCCGAAGAAGTTTTGACGAAGATGAAGCTGCAAGGAATGGAAATCGGATCTCACCAAGAAGCCGAAGCATTGGTCAAATCACTGGATACTCTCGTTGTTGACCTGTTGGAACAAAATGTCTACTTGGACACCCTTGAAGCTATCAATTTGTACACTAGGAGCCAGACAGCCCAAGCTGGTCTTGGGTCCGATGGGTCTGGCTCTGTCAGGCAAGACATCCAGGAAGATCAGCTCCAAATCCTTGCAGCAGCAAATTCACTTCAGGAAGGGATCTCTGCGACCCAATCCAACATCAAGCAGTTGGCAGTTGCCATGCTGATGTATTGCAAGTCAGTCACACCAAGCAAGATGAGTGACTCAGACAAAGATGCCGCCAGATCGCGACTGGAAGAAACTCTGCAAACCTGGAAAGACAAGATGCTGGACCAGGGAAAGAAAGCTTCGATTTGCAATCAGGGTTTTGTGCGGCGGACTGCAGCTCGCATTATGTCGCAACTGCCAGGAGGGGCTGCTGTAAGATCCAACCTGGAAGAATTTTCCAAGTTGAGAGAGGAGAAGGAACAAGAAGCCGAGAAGTGCAAGCGGATTTATGACCTCGCAGATCCCGAGTTGCAGCTAGCCTTAAAGGCCAGAAAGGATGGTGGACTAAAGAAAATGATACAATTTGAGACTTGTCTGCATTTGATAGCTTCCGGTGTTTTTTTTTCGAACGACCCTGGTTTCAACAGAGGCATGGCTTTCTTATTAATGCTTTCTTATTTGCCCAGGTCCACCAAGGCCTTTGATCGTCTCCCAGTTTGGGTGGGGATGTCCGGCTCTCCAGAAGTCTCTCTTGACTCGTTTGACATCATTTGTCACCAAGTCTTTTGGTTGGCTGGTGTTGTCCCGCCCTCTCAAAGTCTTTCCTGATTTGTCTCCCATCAATTTGTTTCTATAAGATATTTCACTCGTCTGCCAGTTTCGGTCTTGGTGTTTTCCTTGCATTTGTCTCCCAATTTCGGTTTCGGTGTGGTTTCGGTGCTCGCCCTTCAGCACTCGGGGCGGTTTTCTTTTATTCGTCATGTCGGAATTGACATGGATCGTACTCGCACAGACTGCCTCAACTTTGGAGTGAACTGCTTGGGGCCTACGAGGGTGTACTTCTTTTATATTCTTTTCTGCATATCATATCCTCGATCTACCGATGGTATGTTTAACCGTCAGGAAGAAGAAAAGCTTCGCAGACTTGAGAAGCGCCAAGACAGTCTGCTAGAGAAAAAAGGGAAACTTGAGAAGCTCAAGGAGGATTATCGAGTGTTTCGGTCACAGCAGCGAAATGAAACGAAGAACATTCGTGACTGGCACATCAAGCGTTGGTGGAGATCCATGTGGAAAGAAGAGATGGAGGTTTACGAAAACCAGGTGACAAAAGATGAAGAGCACCGGCAGGCAGATGAGCGAGATCTTGATCGGAAGTTGGAAAAGATTGATGATGAGCTGATTGACATCTCTGACAAAAAGGAAAAACTGCGGGACGACATTGAAGAATTGAAGGTCAAAGATTCACAAGAGTTCTGGACAAGCAAGCTTTCCGCGGAAGGCCTGCTTGCAGCAGAGGCAGAAGTGAAACGAAAAGATGAGAAGTTGAAATTCATTCAGGAACAGCTGCTCGAAGCTATGAAGAAGACAGGAGTAGCTAATCCGGAGCTGGCTGCAGACCTTATTACCCAGCATGAAAGGTCTAGCATCCTTCTCTCAGAGACGAGCAAGAAATCCAAAGTGGTAGCCCAGGGTATGCAAGAGATCATATCACAGGTAGAGATGACAATCCATGACTCCAGCAATGTCATGGAGCAGGTTGCCAGTGCATTGCTTATTATTCATGACGAACATCAAGAACAGATGCGCAGGCTCAAGAAGTCCAAGCCGCAAGTCTTGAAGAATGTATGGGAGTCGAAGGCCGTGTTCTTGGCTCCACTGGCTCCGGAATCTCCGGCTTCCCTCAACAGAACGGCATGAAATAGGCCAAGTTTCTGCGTGTCTGTGGTACGGACACGCGGACTCGTGGCTCTCAAAGCAGGCATTGTGTTGCCTGAATACAGGATAATACAGGAACATTTTAAGATTTTATCGGGAACAGCCAAGATGCCCAGCTTTCCGTGAGAATTCCAGCTCCTCTGCTGCTCAACCGGTTTTGTTTAAGTTTAAATCTCGTTGGATAGCCTGGCACTTGGGAAAACTGATTGCATTGCGCAGCTGTGTTGTGTTGTGATGTCACCTCGCTTTTTAGGCACACTGAGTTCATGGGAGCATAAACTCTTGGAGTTTGAATCATTTTGAACTAGGGTTTGAGAAACGAGCGACAGGCTGTTGGCTTCGCCAACTGTTAGGAATCCTATGGTGTCAGCAGCTCATGCGGTGGATTTTCACAGTTCCTGCAGTTGCTAAGAAAGCGATATGACACAGGCAACTAAAAACGCTGCTTGAGTGGTTTCGACCTTCGTCCCCAGTCAATAAGCCGTTTAAGTGCTTCCAAAACTGGCGCCGTTGTTTCAAGGCAAAGACTCCTGCGACAGGCACTTGGCAGGTGCATTGCTGAGACATTAATATGTTTTCATGCCTTGGGGGCAGAAGCTTCTCTCCGCGGAGAACGTTATTTTCTCTGGATTTGCGCTTCGTTATAGAATGGGCTAGCGCCCGGGTGCCGCCGACCCCCCCTATTTGGGGGGTCCTGCAGAGAGAGGGAGAGAGATAGATGGATGGATGGATGGATGGATGGATGGATGGATGGATGGATAGATAGGTAGAGAGATAGAGAGAGAGAGAGAGATAGACAGATAGATAGATAGACAGTTGGATAGACAGATAGGTAGATGGAGAGATAGATGGATAGATAGCTGGATGGATAGATAGATAGATGGATAGATAGATAGAGAGGGAGAGATAGATAGAGGGGGAGAGAAAGATAGAGAGGGAGAGATAGATAGATAGAGAGGGAGAGATAGATACTCCGACGGCATCCGACGGCATCAGCGGTTCATTGATGTGTGGCCTTGGGGTGCCTGTTGGCTGCAGGATGAAGCATGCCAAGGGATTGTTTAAGCGGCCCATAAGAAGCCATTGATGTGTGGCCTCGGGGTGGCTGTTGGCTGCAGGATGAAGCATGCCAAGTCAGCGTTTTAAGGGTTTTAAGGTTTTTAAGGGTTTGGAGGGTTTGGAGGGTTTAAGGGCTGGCAAACGACAGGATTGGACGCCCATAAGAAGCCGTTGATGTGTGGCCTTGGGGTGCCTGTTGGCTGCAGGATGAAGCATGCCAAGGGATTGTTTAAGCGGCCCATAAGAAGCCATTGATGTGTGGCCTCGGGGTGGCTGTTGGCTGCAGGATGAAGCATGCCAAGTCAGCGTTTTAAGGTTTTAAGGTTTTAAGGGTTTAAGGAGGGTTTTAGGGGTTTAAGGGCTGGCAAACGGCAGGCTTGGACGCCCATAAGAAGCCATTGATGTGTGGCCTTGGGGTGCCTGTTGGCTGCAGGATGAAGCATGCCAAGGGATTGTTTAAGCGGCCCATAAGAAGCTATTGATGTGTGGCCTCGGGGTGGCTGTTGGCTGCAGGATGAAGCATGCCAAGTCAGCGTTTTAAGGGTTTTAAGGTTTTTAAGGGTTTGGAGGGTTTGGAGGGTTTAAGGGCTGGCAAACGGCAGGCTTGGACGCCCATAAGAAGCCGTTGATGTGTGGCCTTGGGGTGCCTGTTGGCTGCAGGATGAAGCATGCCAAGGGATTGTTTAAGCGGCCCATAAGAAGCCATTGATGTGTGGCCTCGGGGTGGCTGTTGGCTGCAGGATGAAGCATGCCAAGTCAGCGTTTTAAGGGTTTTAAGGTTTTTAAGGGTTTGGAGGGTTTGGAGGGTTTAAGGGCTGGCAAACGGCAGGCTTGGACGCCCATAAGAAGCCATTGATGTGTGGCCTTGGGGTGCCTGTTGGCTGCAGGATGAAGCATGCCAAAGGATTGTTTAAGCGGCCCATAAGAAGCCATTGATGTGTGGCCTCGGGGTGGCTGTTGGCTGCAGGATGAAGCATGCCAAGTCAGCGTTTTAAGGGTTTTAAGGTTTTTAAGGGTTTGGAGGGTTTGGAGGGTTTTAAGGGTTTAAGGGCTGGCAAACGGCAGGCTTGGACGCCCATAAGAAGCCATTGATGTGTGGCCTTGGGGTGCTGTTGGCTGCAGGATGAAGCATGCCAAGTAAGCGGTTTTAAGGGTTTTAAGGGTTTTAAGAAGTTTGGAGGGTTTTAAGGGTTTAAGGGCTGGCAAACGGCAGGCTTGGACGCCCATAAGAAGCCATTGATGTGTGGCCTTGGGGTGCCTGTTGGCTGCAGGATGAAGCATGCCAAGGGATTGTTTAAGCGGCCCATAAGAAGCCATTGATGTGTGGCCTCGGGGTGGCTGTTGGCTGCAGGATGAAGCATGCCAAGTCAGCGTTTTAAGGGTTTTAAGGTTTTTAAGGGTTTGGAGGGTTTGGAGGGTTTAAGGGCTGGCAAACGGCAGGCTTGGACGCCCATAAGAAGCCATTGATGTGTGGCCTTGGGGTGCCTGTTGGCTGCAGGATGAAGCATGCCAAGGGATTGTTTAAGCGGCCCATAAGAAGCCATTGATGTGTGGCCTCGGGGTGGCTGTTGGCTGCAGGATGAAGCATGCCAAGTCACCGTTTTAAGGGTTCCCCAAAGAATGTAATTTTCATGTCCAAATGCCTGGAAGTCTTACCTGGAGGACGAAGCATGCCAGGAAAATGTTTACGCGATGTGGCCTTGAGGCAGCTTGCTGGCTGCGAGATGGGTTTGACCTTGGAAAGCGAAGAAGGAGAAGTTCCACACCTGCGGTGGTCCCAGGCGCCGCCCCTGCCTTGGCCAAGGCCGGGGTCGGCGGATATAGTATTCATTAGTATTCCCCAGGTCGGGTACTGGAAAGCAGTTGAAAGCATGTAAGTAACCAAATTCTGTAAGGCCCCTGTTCGGCGGATCAACCCTGAACATCTCACATGTGTAGTCTCATAAAGGCTCTTAGACTCTTAGGTGTCTTTGCTCCGCAGCCATGTTGTCACAAGTTCTTCCGATACTCCCATACTACCCATGATTACATCAGATTTTTTGAGAGCGACGCTCTTGGCATTTCTTGCTGGACAGTGCAGTAGCATATCGCTGCAGACATCGAATCGTTTGACTCGCCACATTGGGCCTACGTCTATTCCATGTGTCATCCACCAGACCTGGAAGACGCACAAGCTTTCACTTGATCAGGGCGATAATGTGCAGACCTGGAAGTCGAAGAATCCAGAATGCGAGCATAAACTTTGGGATGATGCAGAAGTCGAACGACTAGTTCAAAAGAAATCTCCAGATGTTATATGGCCAATCTGGGATGGGCTTCGCCCAGTTGAGCGCGCAGATGTCTTTCGCTACTTGGTGCTGTGGGACCAAGGCGGCTACTATGCGGACTTAGATGTCAAATGTGACACACCAATCGAACAGTTTCCAGTACCCAAAAATGTTAGCATCTTGTCGTTGGCTTGAACTTTTTGACCAACGCATGCAGCAATGAAGGATGCTTTTCCCATTTTCTTAAACCAACAGTTTGAGCGTTTTGAGCAATAATTGTCAATAATCAGTTGGTCGCATTTTTCCCGGAACGATGATCACGTTGATGCATATTCTTGTGATTGGCTGGAGCCTGCAGTCAGGTATGATTCTTGCCTATGAATCTGGAAGTCGCCTGACGGAACCAGACCGTCAAAAGAATAAGTTTCCCCGGGTGGAACAGTTTCAGAATTGGTTCATGGCATCTTCCCAGGGCAACCCCATCCTTCATCGTGCTTTGGACATCATACGCGAGAAATTCATTTGGAAAGTTCAGAAGACTGTGGACTTGACTGGCCCGGGAACTCTCAGTGATGCCGTCCACGAGTTTTTGGCAACCACCTCCATTGAGCAGGGCATCCCTGAAGAGATATCTCGCAGGACCAGCTATTTGAAAAGTTTCACCTTTCCGAGTGAAAACCTGTACGAGTCTGGGAATCAGACAGTTTGGCTCATGGCCGCAGGACGTGTGGGAGCCCAGTTGCGCGTTGGCGATGATCCCGTAGCGCACCTTTTGCAACACAGTTATGCTGCAACTTGGAAACCACCTGGCGGCGTGCAGCCTTGAAGTTTCACTGAATTGACAGGCAGATGTGAGAAGGGCGCAGGCCATAGAAAAGGGAACGACTCATGTTTGGGTTCCACGACAAGTTGTGGGGAGTATGACAGCTGTATATCTTGAAGCAAGTTCACTCCATTTCAATCCCTTCCTTACATGAATCGACCCTATCTTGTTCCTAAACAACATCACGTCCTTGTTGTACACAGGTAGGATAAGCTCCAGAAATGCTGTCATGCAGACCTTTTCCAGAACACTTGGGAATGGGCCGAACATGGTCGAAATTTGAGCCCAGGCACTAGGCATCCACAATTTTGGGTCATGCTTTTGAGCGGTTCAATCTTCCGGAATCTGTCTAGAGATTCTGAGTGTAATAGTGCGATAAAACCACATGCTCACTGGCCAAGTTTGGGGTGAGCCAATGGCTAGACGCACCATGCAGTGCCAAGGTTTTTACTGGTTGGCTGGCAAGCAGGCCATGAAGATAAGGCCGCGAAGTTGTGTTTTCGGCATTCCACACACGTCCGAATATCAGACTGGATTCCAGCCAACTCAACCACCCTTGGACTAACGATCTATGGGGGGCACTCGCGGTTCGAAGCCATTGGGAGAATCTTTATTGTTGGCTGCTAGAAAGGAAACGGTGGCTAGAACGGCTCAGGTCTTTTTCAAGCTTTTTCATTCAACATACCGGCTGTTGCGTGCAACGATCCAAGCTTATCCTGCTGCTGTTCGCACGTTTTAGCAGTCTGAACCAGGGCGTTAGAAGAGAACAAATCTTATGGAGATGGAATCCGACTATATTTTAGGATACATATTGTGATCATATATGAATCTAGTTTTTTCCTCACTTGTTTTGAAGTGTGTCGTGGTGAATTGATTTATGGGCAAGTTTGCGCAGCTGTCTTCACACCAAGCGTTCGTGTTTTTACAAAATTGTGCACGCTGAACTTTCTCAATTCCTGGTCACACCCGTAGGAATGCAAGAGTCATGCCACCTACGTGCACGCCGCAGAGTGTTCCAATCACAGCTCCATGGTCCCATGGTTCTCCCATCATTTTCCTGATGCGTCAAGTTACCACTGTTCCGACACGTTGCCACTTGCAACCGATGCAAATGCACTCTGTCCATGGCAGCTGCTCAAGATGTCGAGCTGGATGCGCCCACAGGACCCCTCGAAAAAAAAATAGCAAATGGGCATTGAAACATACAGAAACTGCTACAACCCACTGCCTCGTGACAGACTAAGTGGCTAATCTCAAGACGTTTTATGATTTCTTCTATTTGAATCGAATTTGGATCTGAAGATGGAAGATGTTGAATGTTGGCGTGGGAAAACTGCCGTTCCATCTCTCACCACGGCTAGTTCTCAGGCAGCCAAGCTGCGGAGCTGGACGAAGGCCAAGCAATTTGCTGGATCTGCCGCGATCCAGACAGGCAATGTGTTGGGCAACGCATATAATATATCTAAATAATGATTATTAAATAATTAAATATCAAGATTTTCTGTTGGATTGGGCCACACGGGTCCTGTAGACTAAGAATAACTTAGACTGTTCCTCACGGTGATCCGATGTGTATGATTAAATACGATTGAATGTTAAATACTTTAAACATCTAGTATTCAAATGTAGATAAATGTAAATACAGATCTGTACGGATACTGTTTTACCGTGCAGATTCAAGAGCTGTACAATGTTGTACTCGGTTGTGTGTCTATGGCCTTGAGGACGCAGCTCAAAATGTAAGGTCCCGATCCCTGGACGCGAATTCCATACGTCCGGAGCACCGCGTAGCGGTAGCGATCCAGACCCGTTTTTGAGCCATAGCCATATATAAGATTGTAAACATTTGTTTGGCAATCAGTACTTCTAGATACTTCTAGAAATTTGCTCTGTGCATCAAGTGTATGCATACGATTGTCTTGAGTGTGCGTCGCGATCTTGAAACAAGGCTCTACAATGTTGCAAACGTAGGCCGATTTCAGTCCTTGTGTTGTGATGAGTGTGTGACACCAACTCTCAGGCTTGATGTTCTTCTTCTATCTTCCAGCCTTTTTTCAGTTGATCCAGATGAAACATGACTGTCCTCCCATGATTCCATGTAACATATTGTAACCATATTTAAACATCATGTGAGTCGCGTTTTTTTTCAGATCGCAAAAAATAGATAGTGGGGACTCCACAAGACATATTATGTCCTATGAGTAGGCTCCCATGATGGCGTAGGTTCCGTAGGCATTGGCGTAGGCTCGTGTTGGCCACCGCGTAGGCTTTGTGTAGACACGCGTTGGCAGTTAGATAGAACTCATTCATTTTGCCTTGGTTAGTTGTGTGTGGTTCCAAAATTTCCAAAGCCTCATGCCACAATTGGAAACGAAAAGAAGGCATGGCCGCGGCAAAGCCTACACCACGTAGGCTCGCGTAGATATCATTAGATACCCTTAAAAACCATTCCCGGCGTAGGCTCCCTCATGCAATGCCGTAGGCTCGGCGTAGACAGTTGCATAGGTTGTATGTTACTGGTCATCGAAAGACAAGGATAAAAAACTAGACTACTCATGTGTTCCGAACTATCCTGACACTGTCAACTGGAACGTAGGCAGGAGCCTTTGGTGGCACCTTGCCGCTGCCGGGGCAGCATGCGGGGCGTCCATGCGCGACTTGGCAGTACATCGTTCGCCGAGCCGATGCCCCACAGTTGCCATCGGTTGACCATTTGTCGTCCATTTGTTATCCATTCTCTTACATGACACTTGTCAAAATTGTCAAATGACCATTGTCACACTTGTCACATGACTTGTCACAGTCAGATAATCAGATATTTCAAGGAGCTGCATCGAGTCCTGGATTGCTGCGAGAACACGACAGCGATTGCGGCCTGAACTGCAGGCTTGGGATTCCTGGGATTTTGAGTTTAAAGCGGTTTGTGAAAATGCGCGTAGAATCGAAATTGACCATTTAAAAAAAAACAAAACGATTTTGCCTTTTAATTTTTTCCAACCTTTCCAATTACAAACATATATATCAAACTATGGTCATAATATGTCCCTTTGGACAGGGTGGCGACCATGTGCAACCGCAGATTTGTTGCGACTTGTCGGTCACTCAGTGTTGCAAGGACTGCTCACATGTTTCAGCATCCGTTCCTGGGAGTCAATCCTGGTTAGGGATGGAAAGTCTTCGAATTTGTATTAATACAGCGGGTGTTGAAGCTCTGTGTTGAGGTGTGGTGAGCCGTACCAAGCAGAACATCATCCTGCTCACCTCTGCGATTGCTTGAAGGCAGGATTCAGCATTGCGGATTCCAGCTCTTGCAATCAGAACACCAAGCTTTTGCTTTCTGCTTCCGAGTGTTGTGAGTTTGGCGGAGGCGCACATGCGTGAGTGTTTGGAGCAACTGCAAGATGAACTTGGCACTCTTGGTCTCCGACGAGTTGCCAATCTGAACATTCTGAACTGAGCAAAGCATAGCAAAGCATAGCAAAGCATTAGTTCAGCATTGGCTCATTCATATTCAGATAGTTTCAGATTATTCAGGACCATTTGAGGACCCAATCTGATCTGCGCAAGCTCAGGTGTGTGGAATCGTCTTGGGAAATTGTTGGCTGACTTGCGTCATGATGGGAAGCGCCATTCTGGTTTCAGACATTCTTAAGGAGGCACGACATGGCACGACCCTGCGCTCATGTTGAGGATCCAAGACCACCTTGGTGAATGAGAATGCCTTGTCACAATGCTGGTATCACTTCCTGTTTGGGTGTCTGCCACAGGTGGGTTATATAATTGATGTTAATGATATATAATTACATTTGAACCATTTTGAAATATGTCAATCAAATTATGAATGATATTTGATTGATTTGATTATTTTTGATTGCAATTTCGGAGGCAGACTAGGTGATTTTTTGTGGTTGCGCCGGTCTTCATGCCTTGGCTGAAAGTTTGGTGTTTGTGAGTTGTCATCTCGATGTTTGAGGCATATCTCACTCCATTGTGAATGCAACACAGACTCTTAAGATATCTTCAACTATAACATATACATATACATATAATATAATAGAATACAATACAATATAATATAATATATTATATTATATTATATTGTATTATATTATATTATATTATGTTATATTATGTTATATTATGTTATATTATGTTATATTATGTTATATTATATTGTATTTTATTATATCATATTACATTATATTATATTATGTTAGATTATATTATGTTATATTATGTTATATCATGTTATATTACAGTATATCATATTATATCATATTATATCATATTATATTATATCATATTATACTATATTATATTGTATCATATTATATTTGTCAAAGGGAACTAAACGCTAGGACACTTATCATGTACATATGTGATTGTGCATGTGGAACGCCGTAGCCATTTTGGCTCAAGTCCCTGCGTGAGGAAAAAGTCCGAGCTCTGCTTGCAATGCCGTAACGCTGTCCGGAACTACCAGCACTACGGATATCACAGCTCAATAACCACATATCCAGAACAAGGATTCGTTTTGTTCACAGGTTATCAGCCGTAGGGCTCACTTCTCCCTCCGGGAGAGTGGTACCTGCGTGCTGGTAGCCGGGCCTTCTGAGCAATTGATTGAGGACGCAAAGGACCAATCAGCTCATCATCGCAAAGATGCAAGGCGGCAGCGGAGATTCGCGCACCACGCAGTTTACCTTCAACGAGAACACTGCCATGCCGGTCGAGGAGGTCAATCAGTCTTCCCCTGGTGACACGGCAGACAGTGGTGGGATACGCTCTACCCGAACTACACAGTCCGGATGGCAAGTAACGACAAACAGACGAAGGATATCCACTCAAAGTACACCAAGATCTTCTCGAAACAGTCCTCGGAGTGATGTTGTCCGCCAAGGGCATCGACCATCTCGAGGACGAACTACTCCTAGGGACAGATCCACCAGGGCCGTGACCGACCGAGTTGGTGAGAGGACCGGGGATAGTCGTGTTAAGAGGAGATCAACGGATACTTCTGTGGCTAGTGAACCTATTGCCATGATAGAAGAACTACGGGCACAATGTCAATCCCTACGTAATCAGCTGAACAACATGGAAGCATACGCTGCATCTAGAGATCAACTGATTCATGACATCGAGATTAGATTCACCGAATATCTTCAGGAACACAACCAGAACGTATTTGATGAAGTCAGTGCACTCAATCGTAGATTGTCACGTTCCGCGAATGAAGTTGCAGAATATCAAGCAGAACTAATGGTAGCATCTCAAGAAGATGAAGGTGCAACAATGCGCATCCAAGACCTTGAACGCCGAGGTGCCCTAATGGAACATGGTGCACGACGGATCCATCAACGTGGTATGGAGATCCAGGAGGAGTACAAGGATGAAGTACATCACCTTTAGGGACTACTGGGTAATACGGAGGCAAGACTACAACAACTTCATCAAACCAATGTCTTAACCACCGATATTGCCAACCGACTCTACAATGAAGGTCAAGAAATGCAAAATAATTTCCAGAACTCAATCATTGAATATCGTAATCGATCCGAAATGGCATCCTTCTCTAGCAATCAACTTGAAGTGATTAGCCAACAACAGTCAATTGCAGTTCATGAACTATCTGAACGGAATCAACTATTGAGTGAAGCTTTGGTTCAGTCTCGTAAACAGGCCGAGCTGTATGAAGGCAGTATTGACGAGATCACTAGAGAATCTAGGAAGAAGGTTTTCGAGGCAAATCAGGCCAAATTAGAAAGTGATCTGAAGCATCGAAACACCGAACATGATACCGTCAAAAGAATTGCATCATACAGGAACCAAGAGGCCGAAGCGATATCACACCTGAGGCTTGAATCACAGGCCAGCTTGAATTCGATCGCGAGGGCCGAGCATTATGAAGAGCTCTACACCAATGAGCAGGAGATGAACTGCGAGTTAAAGGATGAGATCAAGTTGCAGAACACGAAGTTGCGGAGATCGTTGACTCAGGGTTCTACGACCGACGGTCGTGGCCCCGATGAGATGCTTGTTGAAGATCTACGTAATCAAGCCAAAATTGCTCAAATTAGGGTTCAGGATCTTGATCATGAAGTTCATGAATGTTTACAAGAAAACATGTTATTGAAAGAAAGATTGGCTGAAGTTGCGGATGTAGGGGCTTCGTCCCTCACCAATGCTGAGGTCCGAACTCTAAGATCTGAACTAGAGAGTGAGCGAAAATTGAAATTGGCTAGTGGTGTTCAACAATATGAGAGATCATGCATGTTCATGGGGGAGATCCAGGATAGGGATGAAAAGATTGGCATCAAGAATTCTGAGATTATTGACATGAAACGTCACTTAGATGAACTGAGAAGAAGTCTCAAGGATTCTGAAACATCTATGGCTAGGATCAATCCTGACACACTTCCCTATTCGGCAGGCATTCCCAACTCCGATCTCGCATCCAGACTGGTCATCGACAAACTGGAGAATGACGTGAGTGAGGCTAACTGTGAAAACGCCATTCTGAAATCTTGGGTTTCGCAGATCGACAAGGAGTTGACTTATGAGACAAATGTGGCTCATTCCTATCGTGGGCATGCTGTACCTCCTCAACAACAACAACATTCTCAATCAAACAAAAGAATCGCTGATCTGCTGAAAGAGGTTGACAACAAGATCGCTGGCGGAACTGAGAGGGACTATTACAAGCCACCGAATGGATGGGGCGGTCCGCCTGACCCTGATGGACCTCCGGACCCTTTCGGGCCTAACGGACCAGGACCACCTCCTGAACCACCAGGTTTGCCTTCAGTTCGAGGATCACAACGCGATTCAGCAGATGATGTCTCCACAGCGGCTTACACTGCAGAAGAAATACCGAGAATGTCAAGACGAGAGGCTGACAAAGTCTATGTTAGCCCATGGCCAAAGCAACAGAATCTTGGGGTTTGGCAATCAGATCTCATCAAGAGTGTTGTTCTTTCGGCAAATGACGGAGACAAAGCCGCATGGGAAGCATGGCTACAGCCGGCTATTCGACCAAATCCTGACATTGAGCTATTGAATGACAGTGGGGGGCAACGGTATCAATCCATCGACGCCAAGTTGTCAATTGCATTGTCAAACGTGATAGCCCAAGCCGGTGATGTTGCTCGTCATGTAGCGATCAAATTGAGATTGAGAACACAAAGTCATAGCCGAAGAGGAACCTATGTCATGGGACGGGAAATCTTGGCTATGATTCTGGAGCACTTCAGAACCCCAGGTCAACGAGAAACATCCTTCACCATGGAACACATCGTATCGATGAAGTATCTCGGTGACTCGAACCTAGAAGTGTTCTACGAGAAATGGATGGAGATGGTATCAAACATGATGCCGGATGACGTACCTCCTGATGATTGGCTTCGTGATGCTCTATACAAGAAGATTCGAAATTCGAGTCTTATGATGTTCGACATCAAGCAGTACGAGTCATGGATGGAAGGAGACCAAAGACGAAATTATCGCTACCTGTTGGACGTCATCGAGAGGCACATCTCCAGAATCAGAGAGGACAAGCATGTGGCCGCCAGAGAGAAGTATGCGAGAGACTTCGCAGGTGGCGGCAAACCTTCAGCTCCTGCTCCGAACCCAACTGCCGCTGCACCGGATGCAAATCCAAAAGCGAAGCCTAAAGCTACTCCCAAGGAGAAGGCAGCGCCCAAGGCGAAGGCCAAGGCCGATGCAGCTCCAGTTCTACCATCACCTCAGCCTAAACAGCATGCAAAAGGAAAAGGAAAAGGGAAAGGGAAGGATCGAGCAAACAGCCGAAGTACCAGCCCCAGATCCAAGAAGAAGATCCCATGCCATTTCCATTTTATCAAGAAGTCATGCAGAAAAGGCAAAGATTGTGAATACAGTCATGATCAGAAGGTGTTCTAGGCGAGTAAGAACGCAAAAGGGAATGGTCGGAAGCCAGGAACTCCAAGAAGTCAATCTCCGGCAAACAAGACCAAGAAGATTGATGAACCATGCTGGCATTGGGCTAAGGGCAAGTGTCGGTATGGAGACAAATGCAACAAACGCCACGATCCTCATCTATTTAACACTGCTCCCAACACTGAAGCACCAAGCTCAAAGGCTACTCCTGCACTTGTCCATGATTGGAGCGGTGACGAAGAGACATTCCATAAGATTGCATCGAACGTGGTCAAGAAGAAGGTCAGATTTGATGAGTCTAAGACTCACGTTCAGACTTACGTAAAGAAGGACTTCGTGAAGTGCAATCGGAAATCTCAGACTGTCTCCAAAGGTCATGGTAAAGTTGGTAAGCCCACTGACCAGATAAGGAAAGATGAGCAATGGTCTTATTCATGCAGATTAGCTTCAAGCCGAGGGAAAGCAATGGCTATTCTGATCGATGAGAAGGGTGAATACAGTGACATTGATGAAGTCCTGGTCATAGTCGGCCCTAGCATGGACATCCTGATCAGACTCGACGTCGAGGACGGTGAGGTGTCCAGGGAAGTTTTCGTGGAAAACTATGTTCAGCATATTGAGGGTCGCTATGGTAAAAGGGGCAACACAATGTGTATCACTGTTCCTGTTGAAGAGAGAGATAAGAGATTCATATTGGATGCTGGTAGTGGTCATGATCTCATTTCATCCACAAGAATAAGTAGAA